CCATTGTTTCAGTGCCCCATTCAAGACTCGAAAAGACCGAAAATACACTGCATATAGATCAAACAAAAAAATGGTCCAACGCCTAATCTACTTAGCGTGAGAGGCGAGCAGACCGTGAGTCTCAGGATGAGTTCGTCCGATATCGATCCTTTTTTGACTTTGGATAAGGAATAAGATCAAAAAGTCTCTTGTTCGTGACCCTAAATTTAGGGGAGTTCAACAGCGCAGGCAAGCAGTAGGTTGAAACTCCAACTCCTCGCGCAAGGGAGGAATTATGCCTATATCAGAGACGCTCAGCACACCGTCATCGTCAGGACCGACTTTGACCGTTGCCTCAAAGTTGCGCAGAGGGTGAAGAGCCTTTGTGAACCTGAAGGCAAGATGATTAAAATGTGACTCCGACAGAACCGTGTCGTTAGATAACGCCATGTCGTTGCGTTTTTATCAACATTATGGGAAAATAGCATAGAAACCGGACAAAAATGGAGGCAGAAGTGGACACTCTCGGTGGGCTCGAGCTTCAACGCCAGCACCGATTATCGCTATAGTTAAGAGAAATGGGCCCTATTCGAATGAGGCGACTTGAGGATAATCGCAAAATTATGGTACCCGGTCCAATCGATTAGGCGATACAGGCCTGTGTTAGATTACGTATATGCGATGTGGATACTAGTTGCCTCGACCAGATTCAGAAATAGAGAGAACTTGCTTAATTAAAAGCTCTGCTTCTAACAGCCTTCCAGGATATCCATGTATTTCTTTAATTGGGAAAAATGAGACGGAAAATATGCTAAATATTTTTTTGCATTGTGATCGACGACATTGATTATAACTAATATGAATATGCTTAAAACCATAATTACGTCTTTCTTATAAGGGATGAGATCATTATTGGAAAGACTCAACCCTCATTCCTCATACCGACTCTAGTAACCCGGAGTGACCAGTTCTTGTTCAAGGGAATTTTGGTTTGGATTCTTCTATTATTCCGTTATACCCAATTTCCCTTATAAAATAATGACTTGACAGAAAAATACAGTTGTTGACACTCACCTGATAAATATACAGCATTTTTTAACAGACATACAGGGATGCCATCAAGGATGACGCATCTGGAAGGCTATCGATAACGGCACTTGTAAATGGCGCACAAGGACAACAGTCAGAACCGACAAGTTGGTAAAAACACTTCCAAACTTTTCCGTTTATAAGCGGCGTCGAAAATGTATGTTAAATTTTTCAAAAATGATATGTTTAGGCCTCACATTTTTATGGGATTTCATATATCCTTGCCTCCAAAACGGTAATTTCATCCGGGCTGGACTAGACTGCGGGTTCTACCCCACCCAGATCTAATCAGTATACCCAGCGGGACTCAATCCTGATAGTGCAGTGTGTAGTCTCGACACACTATTAAAAATTCCACAGGTTTCCTTGGCTCACAGGACATATATAAAAATATATATTTCACTAAACAAAACTGCCCCGAGTGTCTTTGGGTAATAGGGAAGAGATAAATTTTAAGCAATGCCTGGCCATTCCCATGTCTCTTTCAGTAGTGGGATTGTCGATGAAGTAAGTTGTATTTGCAAACGACCACATTACTTATTTTTTATTTACAAATAAATAAATAAATAAGTATATATATATTTTTTTTTTGGATTGATTCCCACTGTGTGTACTGACCAATGTTTCATGTGTCGAGACATTACCATACACAACCACAAATTAAATTTTAGTCTCGATAGAAGTACTGATGAGACCCAGGCGAGGTCTAAACTATTGATAGCGAAACTCAATGAAATCGTGATACATGATCGTATAATGTTCTGAAAATTCATCACCTTAAACGAAATAGGTTAAATATCTCTCATATATACTGCAAAAAGTAGCCAATTATATTGTCATAACTTGTTTTAAAGTTGAGAAATATTCCCTCAAAGTGAGATAGTGCTAGGAATAATTTAAATGCAAAATATTTGTCTCTTAAGCCGTGCATTCAAAGTTCGAGTTCTGCGGTAGATACTATTACGGACCAAAGTTACAACCATGCCTCTTCTTGAGCATTTTGGTGATAAAGGGTCAGAGTCAAGAAGTCGTTTGATGCACGGAATCTGCTTGAAAAAGAGGCAAATCAGATTGAAGGTATGTACAGCCGTGATGCATTGATGATGATGAAGTCATTTACATTAAAACATTTATAATGGATTGTCCATTTCGCATATTTTTATTGCTGCCATCCTTATCCTTCTGATACTGACTTTGGAAGCCCGGCTGCATACCTATATTGCTTCCTCTAGGATGCTTTATTTGATGCCGAGGGTTTAAAGAGAATCA